CAAATCCACATTGTTACTTTTGTGAAGTTTTCGGATGTCAATCACGAGATTGATGAACATTTAAGAAATATTTTAATTCTCACTCACCCTTTAGAATATTCAAACAGAATTTGAAACCTATTTTGGTTTCCTATGATTCCATTTTTAGATTAGGTATTTTCGCAAACCCATTTTGGTTTCCTATGATACCTTATTTCAGATTAGGTATTTTCGGAAACCATTTGGACAATGAAAAGGTATTTTCGCATACCCTTTCGGATACCAACCCAGTTTTTCTGGTAATATGGGTTTTCGACAATACCTTTCTGGTTCTCGAGAAAATTATTGGGTTTCCGAGAGCAAGAAAAAGGTATTCCAGAATACCTTTAGAGTGTTCAATTGAGTATTGTCACAAACCCTTGGGTTTTCGAACGTTCGGAAACCAAAAGGGTATTTTCAGAAACGCTTTCAATCTTCGGAAAACCTCTCGGAAACGGAAAAGGGTTTCCGATTGGGTTTCCGAACCCCTTTCGGTTTCCTAGGGTACGGAAATTTTTTAGAGTGTAGTTGCACTTTTTATTTTCAGAATGGACAAAACTCTAAGCGACCAAATTTCGACGTTGCGAAAACGAGATGCTTTTTAGTAAAAGACGAATTCGTTTTTTTGTGTCGCATCTTTTTATAATTGTTCTTTGTAAATTGTAAAGCTTTTCACGTTGCATCTTGCAGTGTATTTTGTTTATTTTTATAAAGTAAATCAGGTAATAAAAATATGAGATAAGAAAAAACGAATTCTTCTTTTACCAAAAAAGCATCTCGTTTTCGCAACGTCGAAATTTGGTCGCTTAGAGTTTTGTCCATTTTGAAAATAAAAAGTGCAACTATAATATAAACTGTCCTTTATAAATTGTAGAGCTTTTCACGCTGCATCTTGTGGCATATTTTTTTTTTTAATACAACCTATTAAGTGATATTAAAATAAAATGCAAAAAAGTCTCACCCATAATGATCTAATGCTACCGGCTAGTTTCCAATAAAAACAGTTCTTATCGAAATTTTATTATTATTCAATCAGTTGAATAGTGATCAAATAGCATAGAAAAATAGAGCGAAAGACGCTCTATCTTTTCATAAAAAAAGAACATTTTTTCAACCTTTCTATAAGGAATTTTGGTAATGGCGTCACTACTTTTGGACTGTCCTAAGTATCATATTAAATTTGACTAAGATAGTCTTTACTTTTGAAAAGTTCTTTATTATTTTAGTCAGAATTTGTGCGTCATATAAATTTCCTTTTTATTCATTTATGTATTCTCATTGCTTTTGTCAAATTATTTCAACACAATATTTTATAAGAACGAATAATAAGCTAATGATAGCAGAAATTATTTTAGAATCTTCGAATAAAATATAATTGAATCCAAATAGTTTAATATTCTACAAGAAAAAAAACAATCAATTTCATTTTGATTAAATCAATGGATCGATAGAATCTATTTGAAACAATTTAAACTATCGAATTTTCTTTCCTGTGCATATTTATTATCCAACGATTAAGTCGTTTACTATTCGACGAATGGAAAAGATGTAAATCATTTAAAAAACAAAGAAAGAACTTGTTTATTTTGTTAAATATATCATAGTTGTTTTTCGTTTACAACAATTAATTCTTCAATCAAAACCAACTACAAATCCGAGATACATACATGAACTATACATCATATTAATCATTGTTATTCTGATACATATATGTTTTTTAGATTATTGTGTAATTCTATTTCTTATCTTAGATTCATTTATCAATTGAAAATATAAGTAAACAATTACATGATGACTTCTACAGATAAAGAAGAAGATATTGAAGATACTGAAGGTATTGAAATTCTTGTTCCATACGCTAGAGTTAATGTATCATTTCTCGAAGCATGTATTAGCGATGATACTATTAAAACGGACTCTTTAGGTCCGTGCCATTTCTTCTTAACTGATTTTATGAAGAATGGTGAACCAAATTGGTATTTATGTTATTACACATTTGCATTTGATGAAGCCAAGTTACCTGTTGACAAAGTTCTCGTCGAGTATTTGAACTTGATTTGGGAATCAATAATAAAAGGAATTGAAAACAACAGCATGTCTAAGGAAAGTTTATCTACTACAAGCCTTTCACAATTTCGGCTTGTCGTTGGAGGTGGTGATGTGGCCGAGGGTAATAAATCACGATTAGCTTCTAACTTACTGAATCATAATGAGATCGATCTTACAAATAAATTATCCAACAATTAATATGCTGTTTTTTTTATATAAAAAATTTATTAAATGTGGTACAATTATATTACAACCAGCATTCAAAATGATGAAATCCAAAGCTGATAGAAAAGGTAAAATGTTAAAGTATCATGTAAAAAGATCGTTAAAAAAATTAGATTGAAATAGTGGTAACCTGTGTGTAAAAAGTCTTTGAACAACATCTTTATTCAATTTTCGTTCACTTATAAATTTTAGGAGAGAAATAAAAGTAGTCAACAAGAATGAGAATTTCATGCTCTTTCTAAATATATACTCAGAAATTTTTTTCTGACTTAAACCTGATTCATTGAGAGCAAATTTTTGATGGGAATGGAAACGATCTTTGTACAGAATTTTTCATACAGTGCATTTTCGTATTTTGATTAAAGCAGCCTCAAGCCTAGTTATAGGAAAGTCTTTTTATATACTAGTTTGTAGAAGAATGCTTGCTCTAAAAAATGCCTAATTTGCTTCTCTCTCTACATATCATTGCAAACCATCAGAATATGTTGCAGTTTAAATACGAAAATTCGCAAAAAACAATTATTTCGAAATATGTCGTTTTATGTGAAGAGTAGCGTTTCGAAAAATGTTTGTAGTTTTCGAATTTCATCTTATTATAGCCGGAGAGCTTGTAAAACACTGAATACTCTACAAAAATAGGAAATAGAAATTATCCGATAATATTTCTTAGAGAATTTGCAACAACAAGAAAACAGCCTATTGCAAACGATATTTTTTAGCTATCCAGATATTTGCTTACAGCTAACTAGCCGTAAGTCTGAATAAAACTATAACAATATATTTACGAAGAGCATCAAATTCTGGTTCTGGACATCTACTTTCAATTCCCTCTAATTACATTCAAGTGTTCAAAAAAATGAGGAAACATATTTGGCAAGATCTGCGAAACTAGTGTTTTGTACAAACGTTATTTTTGATAGCCATCAAAGATTTGCCCTCAATAAATCAGGTTTAAGTCAGAAAAAGATTTCTGAGTATATATTTAGAAAGAGTATGAAATTCTCATTATCGCTGACTACTTTTAGTTCTCTTCTGTAACTTATAAGTGAACGAAAATCAAATAAAGATGTTGTTCAAAGACTTTTTACACGTAGGTTATTCTAATCGATTGTTGTCTAATTTTTTTCAATGGCTTTTTACATGAATATTAAAGATATTTTTAGGAAAAATTAGTATTCGCTTTTTTTATAGCATTAACAACTAATCGTCTTGTAGAATATCCCGGTCTTTGGATTCGTTATTCATGTATAACGAAAAATACAACATTAGGTATTCATAAGGGTGTGGGTGTGGGTGTGAGTGTGACTGAAAGAACAACACCATCACCCACATCCACACCCACACCCACACCCACACCCACACCCACACCCACACCCACACCCAC